GGGGGGGGGGGGGGGGGGGAGAAGAGGAGGAATGACACAAGGATGCAATTTTGCCACCAAGGCTCATCATCATTTAGTACCTGCAGGGTGCTTAAAAGGTCCCAAGACCAACAGTTCTTTTGTCTTACCTCCCCCTTCCCTTTCTGCTCAAGACTTACCTAACAAATTGACTGAAGGCTTTGTAGTTGGTAAGAGTGCGATAATCCTCTTCTGTGAAGATATGATCAATATCTTCCATGCCCCAGTCCTCTAGGAGCTGAGCAGATGATTTGGGTTCCTTAGGAGAGGGAGATGAGGCAAGTCTCAGGGGAAACCCTACATGCCAAGAACCTCCATACATCACAGGTGATTGTATCAGTTCTGGGCAGCTCCAGGATCTGAGGGCAACCTTTCCCCCCACCCACTACTCCCCCAGGGTTCAGGGGATAGACTCTCCAAAACACTGATGGAACTGGAAAAAAAAAAATCCCACCTCTCTGGGATCAGTATACCTTGTCCAAGGAAGGAAAACAAAATAAAAACAAAACATTCTTTGGATGGTAATCTGGATACAAGGGCAAGCCTAAGACATCCTGGAGGAGGAAAATGGGCATAGAGGGAAATGCCTCTGCAGAGGGAAAACAGAAGAGTCTCTCCAGATCATATTTTGGTGATGGAGTGGGGACAATTGGGCAGCTTCTCTCACCTTGGAGTCATCATCCTCCTCCTCCTCCTCTTCCTCCTCCTTGCGCTTGGCTTTATTTTTCTTTTCCTTTTTGGGTCCTAGTTTCTTCTTCTTCTTCTTCCCTGGGGTGTAGTCACTGCCCTCACTGTCTGAGCGCAAGACCTCCTCCTCTTCCTCCACAAACTCATTTCCCTCACCAGAGCTGTCTCCCAGCTTGTGGCAGGGGTGGAAGGACGGCAGGAAAGAGAAGGCGAGAGAGAGAAGATCAGGCAGCAGTGAGATGATACCTTAGGAAAGTACTAAATTAGCACACCTTTACCACCATTTAAAGGGGCTCATTACTAAGGGTCAAAGCCACATGCCATAAACCAACAGAAGAGATCCCCTGTGTACTCAGCAGTCAGAGCTCATTTCCTTCCCCCCTCTTCTTCCCTTCAATTCCTCACCTCCTTTTTCTGGCGCTTGCTGAGCTTGGGCACTTTTGGTTCCTTCAGCTTCTTGGGTTTTTTCTTCTTCTTGATCTTGGGAGTTTCAGCCTCTGATAGAAGCTCTTCCTCTGGCTCTTCTTCAGGCTCTGGAAGGAAAGGCCAAAACAAATTTAGGAAGAGCTGATTTCAGCCATTCACAGTCC